TTCCTCATCAAAGTGAATATTGAGCTTGACCAAACGCTCTATGTAGCGTTGCATTCTTTGCACATGTGACACAACCGACTCCCCATCTTTCATCTTGCAAGCCATGAGTGACTTGACTACTTCGAACTTTTCTTGACGAGCTCGCTTATGGTACTTTTCCATAAGGTCCTTGTTCATCTCGAAAGGCCAGTAGTCCTCATAGTACCTCTGCAGTTCTGGGGACATAGTTGCCACCATGATGCATGCCACTTTGGTAGCATCATCGTAATGTTTCTTGTAGGCAGCAAGATCTTCAGGAGTAGCTTCATTCTCATCAAGCTCTTTGAGCTCCTTTTCAAGAACATATTCTTTGTTCTCGAAACGAAGAGCCATCTTGATGTTGCGCATCCAATCGTTATAGTTTGAGCCATCCATAACGACTTTGGAGCAGATATTGAGCAAAGAGAAGTTTTGGTTGGAGGAGGACGAAGCAGAAGTGTTTCCAGGAGTAGACATCTGAAAAGAAAGAAAGTTTTAGTTAGATTTCAAGATACCTTAATAGAATAACCCAAAGATATAATATCAAGGTTAGGATCCAACTATGAAGATTCACAACTTAGAAATGGGATGCCGAGATCCAAGTGCAAATTTCATAAAGGTAGGTGAATGACGATTCACCAATTCCACCATTAGACGAAACAAACGAAGTGAAATTCCTAATTCTTTTGAGATACATTGAAACTATTCAATGGCATGTTTTAATCTCAGATTATGCTCTTCTATTTGTGACTGGGATGCCGAGGATCACAACAAGATGTGAATAACCATGCAAATGTGCTTGGTAACCTCATTGTCTTTATCATTAACTATTGATGTGCTGGTAAACCACACACGCTCCATCAAAATGACAATTATGAGATACCCATTACTAACCACACACGCTCCACTAACGACCAATAAAGCATAATGTGCAATTTCATGGATTAGCATACTTTTCACATTTTTCCTAAAGTAACTAGAGTTGGGATTTTGAAAATAATGTTCTAGTACTTTCTTTAATATCATTATACTTTTAATGAGAAGTAGTTGTCCTATCAAATCCGTTCTGCTAACGACCCTCCACTAATCAAGGAAGCGGTGGGTGAGAGTGGACACCCATTCAACTACCATTTTATAGGCAGTTTCCTTATACCCCCCTTATAGATTAGCTTCGTGAATGAGGCATACTAGCGATTTGACTGACCATATTCTTATACATATATAATATTAAACTTTTAATCATAATAATATATAGGTGTGTTTTAAAACATTTTAAAACTTCAAGGGTTTATATAAATTTCGAAATTCAAACTATTAAATTTAAATTTAAATAAACCAATTAACTAGATTTAATATTTATCTTTTAATTAACTATTAATCAAATTATTAAATCTTGTAAGGATTATCTAATTAAATTAATCAATTAATTTAATCCTAATCCTTATCCCTCTAAATTTCGAAAATTAGGGTAAGGATAATTATCCAATTAATCTAATTAAGTAACAATTATCCAAAACAAGAAACCCTAGTTATCCTCTTAGCATATTTCGAAATTCTAAGGGAGGAGGCTAGGGTTTTCAAAACCCTAACCCTAATTTCGATTAGGGTTCTTTGGAGGCTAGGGTTTTCGAAAAAACCCTTTGATCCAAAACCCTAGAAATCGAAAAATTGGCCTTTAGGGTTTAATAGCTATAAACCCTAATTTGCAATTCAACAATTGTAGCAATTCAATTTAAAACAACAATGGCTCTGATACCACTAATGGGTTTTGGGTACAACAAATAAACTAGAAAAACAATTCCTAAGTTCACATGCAACCTACTTTGGATCTATGTTTTAACTATTGAACATACAACTTTGAATTGCAAAACAAGAACCCTAGAGGAGAGAGGCTAATTTCGAAATTAACAAACTAGGGTTTAGGGTTTACATACCTTTCAATTGTTATAGCAAACAATTGATATTCCCTTGATCTTGATCTTGATCTTCTTGGAAGCTTTAGCACCACAAGTGTAATGCCTCTAATGGAATCACACCCAATGACTAGCAAGAAGGAAAGTAGAAGAAGAGAGAGGGGAGGGAGTATGCAAAATCTCGGCCTTAGGGTTTCTTCAAAAGAAAGAGTGACCAAAAACATGAACCAGGAGGCTCCTTATATAGCTGAGGGATCTAGGGTTTAAGGGAAACCCTAGTTATCCTTTGCTTAGGGCCTAAGCAAACCCAAGGGCCTTATCCAAGCCCCTATGGACGAAATTATTAGGGTTTCCCCTAAAGATTTCGTCCACCCTCTTCCAAGGGGGTTCTAGAGCCTTCCACTCAACTATTAGATAATTGCAAACTAGTCCCTGCACCTTATAATTAATTCTTTTAACCCCAAAATCAATTCTGATTAATTTCTGGTTAACAATTAATTAAACATAATGATTTCTTGTTAATATATTAATCTTTTAACATATTAATAAATCATTTATATTAATTCATTAATCTTATAAATTAATATCTCTCCTTTCATAATTTCTTTGTCCAATTGCTAGGTTGAGGGCAACCCAAAAGGACTGTGCTGCTATCAATTCAAGTACATACCAATTATAGTTATGGGCTTAGACACCTAATCCAACAGGAGCATTACCCCAAGCTGTTTCAGGAACGAGCAGCAGACTTCGAGGATGAAGTCTAAAATAAGTGGGGGAGATTTGTAGCACCTGGTTCTTGGTACGTATTCTTTTTATTAATTCTTTAAATATTTTGCATTTTGGCCTTGGACTCGGCGAGTTGAAGGACCAACTCGCCGAGTAGAAGCGAGAAGGGACGCGGGACTTAAGTGATGAACTCGGCGAGTCGGGTCCCGGACTCGGCGAGTAGGTGCTGTTCGGACCAAAAACCCTAATCCGAGGGTTTGCACCCTATTTAAGCAATGATATGACGGCCATATTGTCCCTTATGCTCCCAAAACACTTCTCATTGAAACCCTAGCCGTTTTGCATTGTTGAGGCCATTTTTGGTGTTCTTGTGTGGTTGTAAAGCTTGGAAGGAAGAAAGGAGCTTGGAACCTGAGTTGGGGACAGTAGATCCAGATATTTTACTTCATTTTCAGCAGCTTCAAGGTATAATGCCCCTGTCTTGACTCATCTATGTGTTATTCATCTTTAACTTGGGATTTCTTTGGATTGCTAAGTCATGTTTTGGTATTGGAAGTGTGGAGTGGGTTTTGACTTCAGATCTGGGCCTTAAGAGGGGTTTCATGGCATAAAGGTGCCAACTTTAGGGCCATGAGAGCCCCATGCACATTGTAGGACACTTTATGTGGATTTTTGAGCTAAAACCCCATGCATGTGCATCAAGTTTGGAACTTTACGTATAAAGTGGACATTAGGAGGCCAGATCTATGGTTTTGGTGTGCTAGATCCCATTTAAATCAACTGTATGGAATTGGTCAAGACTGGACTCGGCGAGTCCAAGGCAATCTTCTTAGAACTCGACGAGTTGTTCATCAACTCGGCGAGTCGAGGACAGATCTTGTTCATCAGATGAAGGTGGACTCGACGAGTTGTTCATCAACTCGGCGAGTCGGATGAGTTTTCATGTGACGTTCATATGAGAGAAGAGCTCGTCGAGTTGACGGCCCAACTCGACGAGTAGAGTCGTGGATAAGGACAAATGGAAGGTTAGGGACTCGGCGAGTTGGCTAGCCAACTCGGCGAGTCATGTCAACTGGAAGTGACTTTGACTTTGACTTGACTTGATCAGGGGTAAAATTGTCAATTTTACCCAAAGAGTAGATATCAGACTCTGATTGTGTGTTTTGTGGGATTTATAGCCGGAGGATTTCCGGAGCAGCAGCAGCAGATAGAGAGTTCCCGCACAGATCAGCAACTACTACGAGGTGAGTTACCTTCCAGTAGCGGTGGGTCTACGGCCACAATGCCAGCCCACCAGTAGGGATCGTATGATAGATGTTTGTCTTTGTGATATTCATCTGTGTTGCTACTACCTGATATGTTATATGCTAGCGTGATATGATATGTGATAGTGATAGAGATTCGGTTGTTAGGACCGAAGGGTAGGTTAGACACCCCAGATATGCCTAACAGTATGTTATGATATGTTTAGCTGCTAGCATGATATGTTATACGAGATAGAGGTAGTAGAGGGGGGAATGGTCCCCGAGATTCGGTTGTTAGGACCGAAGGGTAGGTCGGCACCCCAGATATGTCTGACAGTAGATATTGCTATGATATATGCGACAGTAGTAGTAGGGGGTGAAATAGTCCCCGAGGTTCGGTTGTAGGACCGAAGGGTAGTCAGCACCCCAGAATGGCTCGACATGGGTAGGTCAGCACCCCAGAATGGCTTGACACGGGTAGGACGGCACCCCAGAATAGCCGCACGGGTAGGTCGGCACCCCAGAATGGCCGTACGGGCAGGTCGGCATCCCAGAATGGCCGTACCGGGTAGGTCGGGCACCCCAGAAATGCCTGGCAGTATGTATGCTATATGATTGTATGGTATGTGGACGATGGGGGGAACTCACTAAGCTTTGTGCTTACAGTTTACAGTTTTGTTTCAGGTACCTCTTCAGCGAAGGGGAAGGAGCTGGCGCGGTAGCGGCACATCATACACACACGTATTGGTTTTTCCGCATTATGAGATGTTCTGGGATTGTACTCTGACATTATTATTATTTTTATGATTTGGTTTTCAGACACGAGATATGTTTTTATGAAATGATATGATCGGTTGATGTTTTACTACAAAATGTTTCGCAAACCACTTATTTTAAATGAAATTTTTGGGCGTGAAAATTGGGTCGTCACAATTCTAGAAGGAAAAAAATTCAAGAGGGATCAAGAGAGAGCTAGGAAGGATGGTGAGAGAGCCTTTGGAGTGCTTAAGAAATGTTGGTACATACTAAAAAAACCAACACTTTTTATGGAGGAGGCAAAACTTCATGAGGTCATGTATGCATGTATCATATTACATATATGATTATTGAAGATGAAGGAAGAACGATATGTACGTATGACACATATGAAACCATCCCCGAGACACTACCAATAGAGATTGGTGGCGATAAGTACATGGATAGGAGAGCAGAGATACATAGCAATGAAACATTTCACAATCTTCGCATGAACTTGGTGGAACACCTTTACGGGATTCAAAACATTGATCTCAATTTGGATCCCCCGGAAGACAATGAAGACGAGTTCTCAAAGGAAGACTTTACGTAGTATGTTTTAGTTATTTTGTGTGTGAACTTTTTTGTTTCAATTATTTGTGGTTTTCATTTTTTAATTTTTATTTTTTTTAAAATTCTACTATGTATTTTTTATTTGAATTAATAAAATTTGAATTTTTTATTTAAATTATTATTATTATTATTTTAAAAAAAAGTGTGCCACCACGGCTAGTGTGTGGCGTGACAAAGAAGCACATTTTTGTGGTAAAAAATGACAGAACGGTTATGTGATAGTGAAAGAGTCTGATAAGAATAACACCATACCCTCCAGCCTTAGGGTAGGAATCAAATCGCTTTCGAAGTTGCAGCACATAGCAGGTCCAAAAGAGAGGAAAATGATGGTGCATGCCACTCCGATGTAAAAGAGAAGGAGACAAACGAAATCTCTGGAAATGTCTAATTGACCCTAGACTTATATATTTCATTTATATTAATTAAATTCGTTTTATTATTTTCTTTCTTTTTAATAAATGTCAAAATTGATATAAATCTTTCTTTTATCATTTATCTTTTATTTTTCTCCTTTATAATTATTAATTCACCTAAAATAATATTTTTTTATATTTATTTACTCTTTTATTTATTTATTTATCTCACTTATTTTTTCTAAATGTATAATTATCGTTTTTTTATTTGCTAAACCCTTTAGAAAAATAATAAAATGAAAAACAAGGCGTAACATTCTTTCGTTTAGTCAATTCAGGAACGGAGTTTAAATGATTTTATTGTAAGTTTTAGTTTTCTAAAATTTTGTAATGCCTGCAACCTTTCGCTCCTTCTATATAAATATTTTGTAAGTCTTTCACTAACATCTTGGAATCAATAATTCTTATCCCTTTTCAACATTTTTTATGTTTTTCTTTTTCGTTCTATGTAAATTGTAGAAGTTTTTACTAAGAGGCTAATGATAGCTTGTTTTTCTTTTTACTAAGAGGCTAATGTCCAGCCGTATATGATTTACCATCCATAAATCTAAGGTTACCGATAACTTTTGGACGAAATTAAGAGGTAAAAAATAATCATGCCAAGATCCCCATAATATTTTGTGCTTCTGTTTTTTGCCCTTTGAGTTGATACTGCATTTTAGGGGTATAAAAATATAAGTATAGATTATTTGTCAATTGACAAAAGGGATTAAATATAATTATGAGAAATATATATATATATATATATATATATATATATATATATATATATATATATATATATATATATATATATATATTGGTTTTGGAGGTGAAAATGTAAGATATAGAAGTGTGGTGTCTAATGTTGAAACTCCAATACCTGAGGGAATATATAAAACGATTTATACTTACTTCCTCATTATCTTCGCTCCCTGGTTAACATTTAAAGAGAAGGAGGAAACTATCCATCAACTCAAATCGATCCACGTTGAAAGAAGAAATTAAGGAAGTAATTGATGTATAATCTTGCAAAAATAAGTTAATTGCAAAGTGGACTCTGCTTAATTTCGGCGCTGTTGGAAATTTGAGGTATGTTCCTCAAACTGATAAATTGATAAAGTATAAGTTATCAATAAAGAAATTGAAATGTTAATGAAGATTTATACCAGTTATTGAGTAAATCTTATCAATAATCTAAGAGAAATGTCGATCTGGAATTTCAGAAACGTATGTTGACCTAATTTAGTCAAAGTTGTGAAGTTTTTGAATTAGTATAGTTAAATTGAGTAAGTTAATAACTTTTTGAAGTTAATAGCTGTTGTGTATGTTATAAACGAATGTAATTAGGGGTAAATGAGTGTAATGATGTGTATTGTGTTGTGGATACAAAAAGCAAATCGAACAGGTGGATGGGGACATTAATTTAAACGATGCTTTGAGAGGGGATTGATCCCAGTGTGCGCTGCTGTGTTTATTGAGTAGTCCAAGTATGCTTGGCACTATTTAAATTAATATATTGCTACGTTATGATATGTGTATGATGAGTTAAGTTTGATTAATTGGGCTTGAGATTATAATGAATTAATGATTGTTTGTCACCATTGTTTGACAACGAAGTATGTTGAACCTAGTAATTGAGAATGGTGGTAAAGAGTCTGAGAGAAAGTTAAAGTCTGATATTATAAGGGAATGATAGTAACAATCCATGTGTGCAATGGGGACCTGTCTCTCTCTGTCTCTGGTATGTAAGCAATTATGAACAGTCATATTAAAGATCATAACAAGACCTTAATAAATTCTTCATGCTTGTAAGTGAATTAAGAGGGAGAGGCTGTTTGTGTGTGGGGCAAGTCTAAGTGCTTGAACATGATTAGTAAAATTTTTGATGTAAGGAATCCAGTTAAAGATATTGTAATATTCTTAGGGGGTTTTGGGATCACGGGATTGTTTTTATACATAATATAATTGTAAAGTTGTAAAATATAACAGGTAAATATCTTCTTTATGTCGATGGCATCTTCATCATCATCATCATCTCAGCCATGGGAGTACCATGTTTTCCTTAGTTTTAGAGGAGAAGATACTCGTCAGAATCTTGTGGGTCATCTCTACAAAGCTCTCGTAGAAAAAGGGATCTACACTTACAAGGATGATGAAACACTTCCTCGTGGCGAATCGATCAGTCCAGCCCTTATGAAGGCTATCGAAGGATCACAACTTGCTGTCATCGTATTCTCTGAAAATTATGCAGATTCATCATGGTGTTTAGAGGAACTTTCACATATTATGGAATGCAAGGAAACGAGAGGCCAAGTAGTTATGCCTATATTTTATGATGTGGATCCGTCTTATGTGCGAAATCAAAAAGAAAAATATGGAGAAGCATTTGCCAAACACGAGCTCAAGAACACTGACAAAATCAAATCTTTGGTTCAGGCATTTATAATTGACCCTTGTGGATGGTTCTTTGCACCGTTAGAACGAAAAAGGGAATACGATGAAGAATATACCAAACAGCAGTCGGAGAATAAGACACAGGTTGAATCATGGAGAAAAGCAATCGTGGATGCAAGTAACATATCTGGATGGTTTATTGCCAACAGGTAAATATCTTCTTTATTTTACTGACTAATTGAAGATATCCTAAGCCATAGGATTATATATAAAGCTCAAACTAAGTTTTATGATGGACTTCACTCAATTGTAATATTAAGTTAATACTTACCATCTCACTGACACTTCTAACGACAATCCCACTATATCTCTTTTGCATTTTCCTGTGCATGGATCTATTTGGTCGTTCTCATGAAACTTGTTAGGAATACTTATGATACTGACTTTACAAGTTCTACTTTGAAATGTAATTAAGAAATACTTAGGACTCCTTAATTTCCCTTATTTCATGGAACATGGAAGATTGGACAAGACCACATTTTGTCCGTGTCAGGGTGTGTTACTTATCCTTCTATATCCAATATGTGCAGGGATGAGTCGAAGGCCATTGAAGAAATTGTTGAGACAATTTCACAAAGGTTGCATCCAACATCAGTTGAGGATGACAACCTGATTGGAATGAAGGCCCGCATGCAAGATTTGATATCAAAGTTGCAGATTGAGTTTGGTGGTAAAAGGATGATTGGAATATGGGGAGTTGGGGGCGGTGGAAAGACTACTCTTGCCTCTTCTATTTTTGATGAAATCTCTAGCAAGTTTGATGGTTGCTGCTTTCTAACAAATGTCAGGGGTGAATCAAGTAAAAATAACGGTTTGGAAAACTTGCAACAAAAAATTCTTTCTGACGTTTTGAAACAGAAGCAAGTGGAGGTACGGAGAGTTGAAGAAGGAAGGCGCATGATAAAGGATAGGCTACACCATAGAAAGGTGTTGATTGTCCTTGATGATGTCGACAACCTTGAACACCTAGAAGATTTAGCTGGATCATGTGATTGGTTCGGTGAAGGAAGCCGGATATTAATCACTACAAGAGATGAGCATGTATTAACCGGACACAAAGTAGATATAATACACAATATTAGGTTGTTAAGTAATGATGAGGCTATGAAGCTCTTCTGCAAGCATGCACCCCAGGGACACATACGTTTAGAAGATTATGAGCAGCTTTCAAAAGATGTGGTTTCTTATGCTGGAGGGCTCCCATTGGCACTTAGAGTTCTCGGTCGGTTTCTATGTGACAAAGAGATGGATGAGTGGAGGAGTGCCTTGGCTAGATTGAAAGAAATTCCAGATGCTAATATTTTGGAAAAGCTAAAAATCAGCTTTGATGGACTTATGCCCCTGGAGAGAGAGTTGTTCCTGGACATCGCATGTTTCTTTAGAGGCGAGCATAAAAATGAAGAGGTAATGATGGTACTTGAAGCTTGTGGTCTTCACCCTGTTATAGGCATAAAGGTGTTGGTACAAAAGGCTCTTGTAACTATTTCAGAATATGGGGCGTTTGATATGCATGATCTGGTAGAAGAAATGGCACACTACATTGTTAGAGGGAAACACCCTAAGAATCCAGAAAAACATAGCAGAGTTTGGAAGGAGGAAGATGTTGCAACAATATGTGATGTGGATGCAACAACGGTAATGGTTAAGCAAGATTTTCAAGATATTTATTTATAAAAAATATTAATTGAACTCAATCCTGACACCATTTTGTTCTCCCAGAACCTTGACAAGATTGAAGCTATATATTCTAGGACTAACAAAGCACAACAAGTTCTTGAGGTCGCTGCAAGCATGAACAAACTGAGGTGGATTATTTTGGGAAGCCCTCCAGGATCGGATGAGACAACATTTTTAATGTCAGATAGTTTTCCACGGAGAGAGCTTTGTTGTCTAACACTGCATGGCTTCAATGCAAAACAACTTTGGGAGGGCTACAAGGTAATTATTATTTACTTCTATCATTATATATATATATATATATATATATTATATATATATATATATATATATATGAAAGCAAATAACAAATGAATACTATACTTTAGGCATTTCAGATTTTTGCCATAAATGTTTTCAATATTGGCACATTTAGTCCTTATATAAAATGTTTTCAATATTGGCTCATTTAGTCCCTATATTTTTGTAGAAATGAATAGTATACTTTATGCATTTAAGATTTTTGGCAGAAATGTTTTTTCAATATTGGCACATTTAGTCCTTATATAAAATGTTTTCAATATTGGCAGATTTAGTCCCTATAATTTTGTAAATTACAGAAAAGATCCCTGTGAGTTTGTTTTTACAAAAACAGTCCCTATGTTTAAGATTTTTGTATGTTGGCAGGTTTGGCCCCTGTGTTGAAAATAAATTACAGAAATTGTCTCGGTAATTTACAGAAAAGGTCCTTGTGCAATTCCTTTTATAGAAACGGTCCATTTGTTAAAAAAAAATACAATAGTTCATACCTAATAGAAAATTTGCAGATAACGTCTCCCACAGTATATTGCCATGTTTCGTCCGTAAACTTTTTTTGTTTTACACTTTCGCTACACGAGTTTCGTATATTTTCAGGTTTGCTCCCTACACTTTCATAGTTATGCAAGTTCGGTCCCCCCGCGAAGCGGGGTAGTAACTTACTAGATTTTGTTGGAAAATATTCTTATAAAAGCAAGTGTTTTAAGGCCATTCTTATATAAACATGCATCACTTGCTTTATAATTCAAGATACTGATTTTGTTGGAAAATATTGTTATCATAAAAAATTGATTGCTTTCCTGAAGTCAATTTTTCTTTTTCAATGAGATGGTTTCTGAGCATCATTTTTTATAAACATTCATGGTTTTATATAGAGAATTTTATTAAACCAATCATGTTTACAAACATTATAATTTATAAAAGATAACATGGTAATTCATCATATTTTTTTGGCAAACTTTTGACTATGTCCACTTGTGAATACAGTATCTACCAAATTTGAGGATTATCAGTCTTACTTTCATGAGGAACCTAATGAAGACACCTGATTTTGAGGGGCTTCCGAACCTTGAAAGATTCATGGTTGACGGATCTGCGCTTTTAGAAGAGATTCATCCATCATTTGGACATTTGGAAAAGCTTGTTTGTGTGGAGATACAACATTGTGAGAATCTTAAGATGCTTCCACACATTACCCGGTCGAAGAAACTCGAGACCCTTGTTCTCTCAAAGTGCAAAATAGTTTTTGAACAAAATATGGAGAATTTAGCACCTGACAACATGAACCACATAGGGCTATGGTTTTGTAGCGGATGGTTAAAAAAGCTGGATCTCAGCTGGTGCAATTTGGCAGATGGACACATGATCAGATCTGGTGCTGCTGGTGTTTGGGAGTTACCCAACTTGCAAGAACTCCATCTAGCAGGAAATAGATTTGTACAGTTGAATTTTAGTCTCTTGCGACTTCCTCGGCTCAAATGGCTTGATGTGTCATACTGCTTCAATCTTGTAGAATTGTTGGAGCTGCCATCAAGTATTGCTGTTGTTCTAGCGGATGGTTGTATGTCACTTGAAACCATTGGAGACATTTCAAACTGTAAATGGTTGTGGAAAGTCGCACTTTGGGGGGATAACAAACTTGGTCCACTTGGTGGTGACATGTTACTAAACTCCATGCTCCAGGTTTGGCTTTTCATTTTCATTCTTTATAAGAAGAATAAAGGTAATTGATCATATAATTGAACGTGTTGTTTTGTGGCAGGGAAACGCCAAATATTACTTTATCAATGTCAAACTTAATTGCATGGACATTTGGAGGGGACCATCTGTAGTTTGGGTCAAGTGGGTGAAGACTTATAATATGCTGCTTCCACATGATTGGTACGATCACTTTTCTGGGATTTTGATGTTCTTCCAAAACAAGAGATTTAATGGGAACCCTCACATAACCATCAAATTGGGTGTACACGACATTTTTCAATCTGAGTTTAATGAAACACTTGAGGCGCATTCTGAAGAGACGACATATGTAGGATATGTTTCCTTTAGTTCATTAACGCACATCACATGCTTGAAATCAACATACAATTTCATTTCGTTTTCCTCAGAAGATGGGTCTATGTATGCAGATAGCTGTAGGTTTAGGGTTGTACTCATTCCTAAAGATGATCCGATGCAAACAACAAAAGTCACAATAGATTCCTCAGAATTTTGGGATAAGAAAGACATTAATGGAAAGACATTTACCATAGAACATGATTCAAACTCCTCTATCAAGATTTTATGGAGACCTCTGGTTTACTAGATATATTCCCAGAGGTCATTTGACTACCTACCAGTTTTCCCCTCTAAATGATCTTTTGCGTCACCATTAATGATCTGCGGTAACAGTTTTACTTTTATGAATTTGTTACTGACAACCAAAGTTTATGCTGAGAAACATACTCAAGAGTCAAGAGTCACTTTAATCTCAGATTCTTAGTTTTTGTTTATTGATCATAGCTATTATTTTTGTTAAAAGGGATTACACACAAACTGATAATTAGATCAAGAATGATATGGTAAAATGTTTGTTTTTCTCATATGATACATCTGAACCATGGGCGACTTGTCATATGGAACTTTGAACCGGAATGCAAATTTGGTAATATGAAAATGTATGTATCTAGCATGCATAAATGTCATATGTATATGTATGTATATATGCATGTATATTTTTATATATATCCTTTTCATCCTAATTCATGTGTGTGTATATATATATATATATATATATATATATATATACACACTCTGTAGCAGGGCCGGTCCAATGATTTTGAAGGCCCTGTGCGAAAAATAAAAACGGACCTAAATATATTTTTTATATAAGCAAAATTTATTAATACTACGATAAGATTTGACATCTAATAAATCATTGTTAATTATATTAGTAATTTAGTATGTAGTATTCATTTACAAATAATCAAAGAAGATACTTAGTAACGGAATCTTGACAGAAACCACTTGACGGAATAGCAATAGATTGGCGACGAATTAGCAACGAAATTTTAATAATACGCAAAAAAGAAATTCAGACCTAGTCATGCGGTCCTACACCTGGCATGTAACTCTTCCATGTAAGTCAGTTTTTTTTTTCACCATATATTGTTATTAGAAAGCTCAATAAAATGCAAATTTTAACTTTTCATTTTGTAGAAAAAACCCAATAAAATCTATAAACTGTTATTGTTATTTAATTTTTTTTATTTTACTGATTGCAAGCTCACAAAGAAGTTAGGATTGAAGGCAAAAAAAATAATAAAAAAAAAAATCCATTTGGTAGAAAATACCCAATAAAATCTATAAATTCTTATTGTTATTTAATTTTTTTATTTTATTGAATACAAGCTCACAAATAAGTTTGGACCGAAGGCAAATTAAATTTATATTAGAAAATAAAAATTGCGTTGAAAAGTCTCAGAAAAAAAGTTTATAAAAATGCAAGTTAAATATATGTTCAAAAATAGTTATTAAAGGAAAAAAGTGTACACAAAGCATCCACCGCAAAGAAGAAAATGTCAATTAAATTTAACTATTATAAAAATAGTTTGTTTTGTAAAAATAAAACCTTCATAAGGAACCAACAATAAGAATCGAAAATGCGCCGTCCGGGCAGTTAAACGCCCTTATACCAGCTGAACTAGAACAGTTTTATGTAGAAATTTAATATTACAATATTTAACAAAATATAAAATATGTAATATGGATAAAAATCTGTAACATCCCAAAAATTTAAGCCAAATTTAAACTTTTTCAACCATGAAATCAAATAGTGTTTTACAAAATGTTTTCAAAATATTATTCATCAGAGTGTCCCAGAAATATAATCATATGGATGAGGAGCGGTACGGTCAAGCCTTCGCCTTGCCATGATCTCCGGAAGTACCTGAAACAATAGACTGAAACTGTAAGTCCGAGGGCTTAGTGAGCTACCCCCAAAATACCAATACCACACCGATAATACCATATCAATAACAGATAATTAACAACATGCATACTGGGCCTTCGGCCTGACTGGACCGCCCTGCAGGGCCTGCAGTCTATCTGGGTCTATCCCGAGCCTTCGGTATGACTGGACCGTCATACGGGCCTACAGTCTGTCCGGACCGCTCGTAGGGTATGTTGGCCTTCAGCACAAAGCAGGACCGCCTCAACCCAAACATCAAGCAAATAACCATGTGCACAAGACTACATTTTTTGGAAACGGTAATGATTAAACGGAAGCCTACTCGCATATTTCAACGAGCACCCCGGTTTCGAGCTCCTTTACAGGGCAAACCCAACCCCCATAGGGGTTTCCAGGGAAAATTTCCCCACATGTGGCACAAGTTTAAGAGGCACCCAAATTGGGTTTTGCAGGGATTGAACTCCCGACCTCTGACCCCACGTGGGTATTAAACCCGGTACCTCTTCCCAGCTAGGCTGGAAGTCATTGGTAGCATATACAGACATCAGATATAACTATCTCACAGATCATCGATCACAACAATCTCTCCTAACCAGAGCACCGACCTAAACAGGCCACTAACATCCAATCCTAACGAATCAAAAGAGCATAACGACATATTGTCTATCCTGTTACCGATCTAACAGATCATAACACATGTAGCATACTGTAACCAAGATAACAACTAAAAGGGCCGGCCTTGGTGCCTTAGACCCTATTGATATAGTGAGGATAACTCACCTTGCTAGTAGCTCAGAATGATACTGTCCACACCTCTCGATATAGCTCCAACCACCTCGCCTGTACCTATAAGTGGTCCACTCAATAATTACTTAAATTACCAAGATGCCCTTGGGAGGTACAAGACATCCCACAGTCAAGTCAAGTCCCTGGTCAATGGTCAACAGTCCATGTTGACCTGTTTGCTGAATATAACTTTCTCTGTCTCGAGTCCCTCCTGATTCCAGAATTTCTCGACTCGACTCGCCGAGTCTTTAGCAGACTCGCCGAGTCTATACGCGACTCAGCTTGGAAGTCCAAACTGACTCGTCGGGTCATTTCCCAGACCTCGCCGAGTCCAAGCAGGACTAATCTGGACAAAACCCTCCCCGACTCGCCGAGTCACCTTCCAGACTCGTCGAGTCCATACGCATACTCTCATGATCAAGCGATTCTGAACTACCCCTTTGATCCAAACAGTTGATCTAGGTCCCTAGAGTGCATTAGCAACGTAAAGTTGCTACCTTTACGTATTTGCATGACTCAAAATCCACATCTAAGCTTTGAATGGGAATTTACTCATAAACAAGGGTTCCTCATGACCCTATTAAGAACTTTATGGACTTAGGACTTAAAAGCGGTTCAGATTTGAGGTTTCAACTTCAGATCTAGCTCCCATACCATAATCCCTTCATGAATAGCTAAAGAAAGCCCTAATCTTCATATATGAGAGATTCTAGAAGAAAAGAGGTCAAGGTGACAGCTTGATACCTGTAAAACGTGCCCAAGCTGAAGTAGACTCTGGATCCACACGAAATCCTTGATGCTAGCCTCTTGATCTACAAGTTTCCTTCACAAAGTCACTTCCCAAAGCTCCAAAACACTCTCCAAGCTCACACTCACGGAAATTAGGGTTTCTGGCTCTCAAGGGGCGATAGAGGACAGTTGGAGGCGCTAATGGTCCAATATATAGGGTGCAAAAACCCTGAAATTTAGGGTTTCCACTGCCAGCTCCTACTCGTCGAGTCCCCCATGCCGACTCGTCGAGTTACTCATTAAATGACGTGTCCTGACCCGTTGCTACTCGACGAGTCACAGCGTCAACTCGTCGAGTAGACCTTAAAACATGGAATCTAATGGAATAATAATGATACCTGACGGCTGGGGTGTTATAATTCTCCCCCACTTAACTTAGACTTCGTCCTCGAAGTCTGCTGCAGCGAATAACTCTGGGTAATGCTGCCGCATCTCAGCCTCCGACTCCCATGTCCACTCGGATCCCCTCTGATGCTCCCATTGTATCTTCACCAACGGAACCTTCTTGTTGCGCAGGACTTTCACTTTTCTTTCCAAAACGGCAACCGACCTCTCAATATAATTCAGGCGCTCATCAACCTGAATGTTATCCAGTGGCACCACTGCCTCTGGGTCCGTAATGCACTTTCGCAATTGCGAAACGTGAAAGGTGTTGTGAATCCGGCTGAGCTCATCCGGTAATTCCAGCCTGTACGCCACTTTACCAATCCTGGCGATGACCCTAAACGACCCAACTTTCCCCTTTTTCTGAAGCGAATCACGCCCTTCCAGGGTGACACCTTCAAGAGTACCATGTCATCAATCTGAAACTTCAAATCCGATCGGCGTCTATCAGCGTAAATCTTTTGTCGACTCTGGGCGGTCTGTAGTCGCTGTCTAATTTGCTGGATCTTTTCGGTAGTCTGCAAAACTACCTCTGTCCGACCCAACACTCTGTGTCCGACCTCACCCCAACAGATCGGGGTTCTACATTTCCGACCATACAACAGCTCAAAAGGCGGGGCGCCTATACTGGAATGATAGATGTTGTTGTAAGCAAACTCTGCAAGAGGTAGATGGGAATCCCAACTCCCTCCGAAGTCGATAGCACACGCCCTCAGCATATCCTCGAGGGTCTGAATGGTCCGCTCACTCTGCCCGTCGGTCTGAGGATGAAACGTTGTACTAAAGTGCAGGCGCGTACCCAGTTCCTCATGGAACTTCTGCCAGAAACGGGAGGTAAACCTGACATCCCGGTCAGAAACGATGGAGACCGGAACCCCATGGCGAGAGACAATCTCGCGGACGTACATGTCGGCCAATTTCTCGACCGATAAACTCTCCCGAATAGCCAAGAAATGGGCACTCTTGGTCAACCGATCCACGATGACCCATATAGCATCGAACCCCTTCGCCGTCCTCGGCAGCTTCGTAATGAAGTCCATCGTGATCTGCTCCCATTTCCACATGAGAATTTCTAGAGGCTGCAGCTTACCATGCGGCCTCTGGTGCTCGGCCTTGACCATCCTACAGGTCAAGCACCTCTCGACATACTAAGCTATTTCTCGCTTCATACATGGCCACCAGTAACTCAAACTCAGATCGCGGTACATCTTGGTGGCCCCCGGGTGTATAGAAAAACGAGACTTATGAGCCTCCTCCATCACTGTCTGCCTGACCCCACCAGACATCGGA